AAATAAACAAATGGGACCTAATGAAACTTAAAAGCTTTTGCAAAGCAAAGGAAACTATAAACAAGATGAAAAGACAACCCTCAGAATTGGAGAAAATATTTGCAAACGAATCAATGGACAAAGGATTAATCTCCAAAATATATAAACAGCTCATGCAGCTCAATATTAAAAAAACAAACAACCTGGACTTCCCTGCTGGCACAGTGGTTAGGAGTCCACGTGTCAATGCAGGGGACTTGGGTTCCAGCCCTGGTCTGGGAAGATCCCACATGCCACAGAGCAACTAAGCCCATATGCCACAACTACTGAGCCCGCACGCCACATCTACTGAAGCCTGCGTGCCTAGAGCCCGTGTTCCACAACGAGAAGTCACCGCAATGAGAAGCCTGCGCACCGCAAGGAAGAGTAGCCTGCATTCGCTACAACTAGAGAAAGCCTGTGTGCAGCAACAGACCCAATGCAACCAAAAATAAATAAATTTATAAAACAAAACAAAAATAAACGACCCCATCAAACAATGGACAGAAGACCTAAATAGACATTTCTCCAAAGAAGACATACAGATGGCCAAGAAGCACATGAAAAGCTGCTCAACATCACTAATTATTAGAGAAATGCAAATCAAAACTACAATGAGGTATCACCTCACACCAGTTAGAATGGGCATCCTCAGAAAATCTACAAACAATAAATGCTGGAGAGGGTGTGGAGAAAAGGAAACCCTCTTGCACTGTTGGTGGGAATGTAAATTGATTACAGCCACTATGGAGAACAGTACAGAGAATTACCATACAACCCTGCAATCCCACTACTGGACATATAGAATTACCATACGACCCTGCAATCCCACTACTGGACATATACCCAGAGAAAACCATAATTCAAAAAGGGGGCTTCCCTGGTGGCGCAGTGGTTGCGAGTCCGCCTGCCGACGCAGGGGACACGGGTTCGTGCCCCAGTCCGGGAGGGAAGATCCCACATGCCGCGGAGCAGCTGGGCCCGTGAGCCATGGCCGCTGAGCCTGCACGTCCGGAGCCCATGCTCCTCAATGGGAGAGGCCACAGCAGTGAGAGGCCTGCGGACCGCCAAAAAAAAAAAAAAAAAAAAAAAGGCACATGCAGGGCTTCCCTGGTGGCACAGTAGTTGAGAGTCCCCCTACCAATGCAGGGGACACGGGTTTGTGCCCCGGTCCAGGAAGATCCCACATGCCGTGGAGCGGCTGGGCTCATGAGCCATGGCCGCTGAGCCTGCGCGCCTGTGTTCCGCAACGGGAGAGGCCACAGCAGGGAGAGGCCCGTGTACCTCAAAAAAAAAAAAGGCACATGCACCCCAATGTTCACTGCAGCACTATTTACAACAGCCAGGTTATGGAAGCAACCTAAATGTCCATCAACAGATGAATGGATAAAGATGTGGTACATATTTGCAATGGAATATTATTCAGCCATAAAAAGGAACAAAATTGGGTTATTTGTAGAGACGTGGATGAATCTCAAGACTGTTATACAGAGTGAAGTAAGTCAGGAGATAAACACATATCATATATTAACGCATATATGTGGAACCTAGAAAAATGGTCCAGCTAAATCGGTTTGCAGGGCCGGGGGAAAGCCACGGGGGGGGGGGGGGGGGTGGTGTGATGAATTGGGAGATTGGGATTGACATGTATACATTAATATGTATAAAATGGATAATTAATAAGAACCTGCTGTATAAATAAAATTCAATAGTTCAAAAAAAAAACTTCAGCACTTAAAAATATAAATTCAACTATCTGAAAATTCATTAATGAAAAATATTAGTTTCTGGGGAATTCCCTGGTTGTCCAGTGCTTAGGACTCGGCGCTTTCACTGCTGGGGCCCAGGTTCAATCCCTGGTCAAAGAACTAAGCCTCCGCAAGCCACACAGCATGGCCAAAAAAAAAATTTTAATTTCTATCAGTGCCAAATAAATGAGGTACTCATCTTGTTTGGTGCTATTCTACTCATTATTTTAATGATTCACAAATCTATCAGTAATTTGGTAGCCATCCTGAGTGGGACTTTCTTGAAGGAACCCTCAAATCTGGAATGTCACTAGGTTCATTGTCATGATTTTGTTTTCAAGACAGATAGCTTTGGAGGCAAATACAGAACGGAAAACTTTGGATCTGTTTCCCAACAGTAGAAAATGTAAAATTAATCACTTCAATAATAGATATGGTCTCTTACGGGTGAGTCATCTTCAGCTTTCTGTGGAATTTCCCTGCTTTAATACTATTTAAAGTCTAACCAGTTGTGCAGTCAATAAAATCAGTGAAGAATTGTTTATCCATGATTAAAAGTTAATTACATTATTATTTTCAGAATATTAACAATGTCTGAAAAAGCAGTTTTAACCTTGGTTGATACAGCCTCCTGGTGTTGAGATCATGGATCTTGAAATGATAGATATTGCCCCTAACATGAATTATCCTCCACCTTCAAATCTTGCATATGCTGCGTTCCACAAAGAAACCTAGCTGACTTGCACATCAAATCACAGTATATTAGGTAGGAACTGTATCTTATGTAGGAGACATATCCTCTAGGCTTTCATTCAGTATAGCCAACCTTTAAGTGACTGTTGCACGCATGGCACTTTAGAGAGTCTATAAAACCATAAATGAAAACCTTGGAACAGTTGCTTTCTAGGCAATTCAAGTTACCAAAGATTCATAAACCGTTTATCAATGTGAGGTGAACATCTCATGCACCTCCTATGACCACTTCGGAGGATGTGAAGTCAGGGCTGCCTTGCAAAAGAGAAAATGATTCAGTAGATAATATCTGAGGTAAGAGCTGTTAAGAGTACCTAGCTTACTAAGGTACATCATTGTTTGATATATCACGAGGCACAGCATCCAGTTGTGAACTCCAGATTCCTCAAAGTTTGCCATCAGTTTCTTATCCACATGGTATCTGGGATTTTTAACAATTATTGATTTATCATGTAAATGATAAAAATTGTATAAACAATATGTTTATATAATTTATGTTGAAGAAACAGTATATAACTCCTAATTTAGCAGCAAGACTGACTGCAATGCACCAAACTTGAATATTGTGGACACTTTCCCCAAAATGGTATCAAAACATTTCATGAAGCTTTCACACAATGGAGATTTGGTTAAGCTGTTAAGTTTTTCAATTTTGTTGTACATGTCACCAGATAATTTAGCAAAAATCTGGCTTTCTTAGAGTTTCTTAGAGACAAGTTAAATTTTACTTGATCTCTCTGGAAACTAATTATGTCCTAGTGTTAAGACATAATTCAATTAAACAACTAATCACATATACTCATCCCATTGGGTTCTGCTTTGTGGAATTAACATTTTCCTAAAGCCAGTGTGAAAAAACGTTAAAATTATCCTTATCAGAATCTTTATTTTCAGCATGAATAAATTTTAAAATACAAAATGGGAATTCACATTTTAAGTGGGCATTTTAATTGAATTTTGAGGATGAAATGGTTTTACCTCAGAAATAGCTTTGAAAGTTCTCTAACTACAAAGAGCAAGCAATTCTTGACAGCTTGAACACAGCATACTTTATGTCAATACCCACAAATGAAACCGATTGCTTCTCTTGAAAATAAAACTTGAATCCTGGCTGGCAATGAATGCCTCTCATGGTGAAGCTGGCTGAACTGCATACCCTAAAGTTTTTAAATCCATAGTCCACCTCTCCATTGGCCCAATTTACATATATATCCAACCCCACAGGCCCTTACAATGTGACTGACCCTCCTCCCAGTAGGAGGTGGAGTCTGTGTTCCTTTTCCATGAAGCTGGGATTTGATCTTCTGGGACTTCTGGTGACCAAGAGTATAGTGGAAGTGATGCTAGGACTTCCAAGGCTAATTCCTATAAAAGATCCAGCTTCTGCCTGGCTCCACTTCAGAGCCCTGAAATGAGTCCAGTTGCCCTAAAGCCACCATGCTGTGGATTTTGAGGAAAGACTGAGCCACTAACAGTGAGATGCTCAAACAATCTCCCTCTAGCCGGATGTGAAAAAGCCTTTGGAGATGACCCAAGAGCTACCATCTGATCGTAACTTCATGAGACACAGATGCAGAAGAACCCAACAAATGCTCCTTAATTTCTGACCCACAGAAAGCTTGAGATCATATCGTCTCATGCCATTATATTTCAGATGATTCGTTATACAGCAGTAACTAATGCACACTGATGACACCAACTGCCACAGCCATCATTTGCTTGGGCTCAGACTGCAGCTCTACCTTTTGTCAGTTTGGTCCAAATTTACACCCATAACCCCTTCTTTTTCTCTGCAACACAGGTAAAATAAGACTGGAACCTTAAACAAGACCAGGTGATGATGACAGAGAAGTTAACATGCAATGAGATATACCTGGTTTCTAAATTTAGTTCACTGACCTTATAACGGGTTTGTAATGAAAACATTTCTCTTCCTGTTTAGACTCCTTCGAAGTTTTTTCCCTGAGGTCCCATCTGCATACTTTACACAGGGACTGTCAACTCAATCCAGATATTACATCCAAAGGCCTGAAGGTAAAATGTAATCAGACTTGAAAAGATAAACTATATCACAGATTGGGCTTTTATACTTCCTAACCAAAATACAAGGGAAAACTAAACAGTGGCTTACGTTCTAGCTTTTAAAAAATCAGTTGGGGGCTTAAACCAAATTCCAGGTGCTTGAATATGCCGAAGTGCCACCGTCCCAGGGGCATTCACCTACTCCAGGTGTCAAGCAGGTACCTTTCTTAAAAACAAAACCGGAAAGTTTACGGTAATTTTTTTTGTAATTTAGAAAGTCAGATCTGTGTGAGGAGAATTAAGTTACCTGAAATAGTTTTTAGCTATCAAATGTTTTGGTCCTTCTAAAAAGCTATCATTCTAAGAAACAGCCTAATTTAGATTACCTTCTTTTACAAATAAGGATTAGCACACTGATTAGGATTTTTAAAAGTATAGTAAGTGTTGCAAAAATCTGATTATATACGGAAATGTACTTGCAAAATAAACCACAAATGAATATTTATCCATATTCAAACTGAACAATTAAATTGTTTTTAAAAATTTAGGGCATGGTTCCTAAAAACGTAAGAACTCTCGAGTGACAAATCCTGAAACATATGACAATTTATGAGTAGGGATCATAGTATTCAACCAACAGTGAGCTTTTTTCCTTGAGGTTCTAATGTATGCATAATTCTTTCCATTTTAGGGTTAATTCTTTAAAAACTAGTTTTAAAAATAATTATCAAGTCACAGACAAACCATGAACAGTTGGGTTTATTTCAACAGTAAGTTTGAAACTCTTGCTTCTGGCAAGAGTACTACAGTAATTATATTAGGAATAGACAATTTCCTACACTGTCAAATATATAAAAGTTCCTTCTGCATTTTCCTCAACACTGATCAACAAGCAGATTCAGTCCACATCTGCTTTCATCTACTCAGTGTACCCAAGCTTCTTCTTCAGAGATTCTGGCATCTCAGGTGGAGGAGGGCGAGGGAGCCTGAAGTAGACCTTCACAGAGTCATAGATGAACCACTGCAGTGCAGTCAGAGTGCCAATCATGATGATACGGGCAAAGAGTCCCTTCCATACACCTGGATAAAATATGAAATGTGAGTGAAAAATATACCCCAAAGTGTTACTCTTTCTTTAGAGGGGAGGAAAAAAAATCTTACCTCTAAATCCAAGTCTCTGGAGGACCAGAGACGCACTGCTACCCTTCTCTTTATTCAACACAGACACCACAGAATCAGCAGGGTGAGAAACAATGGCACAGAAGACTCCAGCTGAAAAAAAGTCAAGATAAATGATGCAATATGGGGTCAGTTAAAAAAAATTTTCACATCACAGCCAACAACATTTTCATGAGTAATAAAATTTTCTTGTGTTTAAAAAAATCATATTTTAGAGTGAGACTGACAAGTTATAAAGCAGTCTACCCTCTGTAAAACAGAACAATCCCTCAAGTTAAATTCAGATTTTAACACTTTCTCTTGTATTAAAAATTTGTTATTGGAAAAACTAAAAAACAAAAAAAGGCACAGCAGCGAAGTCAATACATTCCCGAGCTTAATTATGACATGCAAACCACAAAACAATTCTTTTAGGAACGAATTAGCAAGTATTTATGAATCCTGAAGAGTATATAAAACCGCAATGGAAAGATAAAACTTCTTTGGAATATTTTTCCCTCACAAAAGAGGCCAATACTGGAAATGATTATTCTTAATTTCACAGACAAGCATGTTCTAAATAATTCATACCTATGTAACCTGCCACAAATGTGACAACCAGCTGCTCTGGCTTTGAACATTCACTTCGGGGCTTGGGAACCACAAACTTGTACAATGCTTCAACAGTACGTTCAAAGCAGGCGAACTTCATCATGGTGTATGGTATCTGCCTCATCCAGAGAGGAGCAACCCCCTTGTAGAATCTAGGAAATCAGAAGACTTATTTTACTCGGTTGCATATATTCATCTAGCAAACTTTTTCATTATTAACAGAAGTGTCCGCACACCAGTCAAGTCCTGATAGTAACAAAATGGCAGCACTACTGCATGTCATTTCTATCAGAACCTAAGACTAACATGCAGGTATATTTATCTCACATGCCAATGACTCAAGCACCTTTGACTATACAACCAAAAAAGTTGCTGGATGTTTCTTTCACTGGAACTACAAGAAACAGTAAGTTTACAAGTAGAACTCAGCTCAAGATTGGCATCCACAAAGGTGGATCTAAGGAAGCATGTGTGGCCTGACTATATGCAAATTCTTAACTGTGAACATAGATGACAATTCTAACAAGGGCCCTCCCCAACCCCCAAGCTAAGAGTTAATATTTAGGTCAAATATCAAGTCATTTGTAGACTGACAAATGATTCTAACTAGAGGGGAAAAAAAAACCCTTAATTCAGGGTTCAAGCCATGTATCAACTTATCCTTGCCCCTAGAGTTTATGTTCTATGTGAGGGGGAAAGAGATGTGAAAAAGAGAAAGTCTGGCAGGTTTAATGCTAACAAATGCGGTTTTCTCAAATGAGTATTTTTATACTATATATTTAGGCAAACGTTTACTTACGCCTTTAAGCCTTCTTCCTTATACATTTTGGGAGCTGCATCCCTCAAAGTGTTAGCATATCCTGGTTGGGTCTGAATTCGAACCTTAGCAGCTTCCATAGGAGCCAGAGCAATGTCAGCAAAGAATTCAGCACTGGCAGAGGCAGCCAAATATAGTGATGTGCGCCAGAGATACGCATTCTCCTAAATGAAAAACATAAGGAGAAACATGAATTGCTGCTGCACTGGCTGTTCTCAATTTAAGAGACAGTTCTAGGCAACAGTTAAATTTCAGACATTTTAAGTGTTTCTTTGTCACAGTCCACAGATAACACACATGAGACTGAATATCTCTCATAACCTCATCAACCATAGTACACTTTGAGTATTTTTTGAATGTCTACGTGCCAAGGATAGTTGACCCTTGAACTCACACAGGAATACTACAATCTTTCTCTTTAAAAAACTCAAATCCAACTTATTTGGAAAGCAGCATAGCACAATAAAAAGGGCACTGAAATCCAATGAAATAGTTTCTTTTTCTTATCCTCTTTATGTTAAAACAGCCTTATGACACAACATTGTAAAGCAATTATACTCCAAAAAAGATGTTTAAAAAAAAAAACAGCCTCATGATTTGAAACATACTGTTCACCCTTTCTGAGACTATCTCCTCAGTTCTAAAAAAAAGGTGAGCCAAACAAAAATCTAAGATCCTTTTTGGTCTTATATTTTATGTTAAAAACTGAGGACTTTTTTTCCCTTTTTCTTCTTTTTTAAATATTTATTTATTTATTTGGCTGCGCCAGGTCTTAGTTTCGGCATGTGGGATCTAGTTCCCTGACCAGGGATCGAACCTGGGCCCCCTGCATTGGGAACGTGGAGTCTTAGCCACTGGACCACCAGGGAAGTCCCTAAAAGCAGGTAAATTACATACCTCTCCAAGCATGTTGCTATACAAAACTTTGAAGACTTCATAAAAGCCAAATTTGCAGAGCCCCTGCATAGAGTAGCCAATGAAAGTCGGAGCCCATCCTTTGGCCAAACCACGAACACCATCTTCTTTAAGTGTAATTGAGAATCCATTAAATATGCCCTTGTACTTTTGTGGGTCCACCTTTATTTAAAACAAGAAAAAAAATTAAATGTACAACAGAGATAATAACACTTCTCACAAACATTTCATTTTGTTATTATTAGTTTTTCCTTTCGGTTCTAATATAAACTTTAGTAACTACACAAAAGGTGGGTAAATACAAGTTCACTGCATGATATCAGCTTAATGTCTACTATTATCTTTGTAAATGTAACTTTTTGTACAGTAAGGTCTAGCTTTCTTTCAGTCAGACTTAAGTCTTGGAGAGTTAGTTAAGAGGATAAAGTTCCTACCAAAATACATGATAAAACTGACACGAGATTTTTCCACCACCCAACTCTTTTTACCACTTAAAAATTAGTCTTAAAGCTACTTCATAAACAATAATTAAGTCTATATCCTTGATATATGCTAGCCCATTAAGTGATTATAAAGTTTTGTGAACTTGACAATCAAATTAAATACAAGTTAAAAAGGTACATCGATATGAAAACCCTCTTTTGAGTTAAGAAATTAAATTCCCTTTAAGAGACATGCATAAGAAGTTTTAGCAAAGGTGTATTTAATATTCATTCTATTAACTAATGGGGGTAAAAATCTTATCTATTTCTGCCAGTACTAGAAGGGCTGGTATACATCACCTTCCTCTCCCTGCTAACATTTCACCTTCCTTTCTCTTTTAGGTAAGTAGACCGCTAATCCTGTTTGGGACAAATAAATTTTTGATGTTTGATTATTTGTGTTTCAATAATCCTAATTAAGACATTTTAATTGTAAAATAAAACCTTTTATGTAAATAAATATGCAAGAAGCTATGCCCACAAATTTTAAACACTATACAGTGAGAGTTTTTTAATCTATATTGTTCTCTGCCTTGATCTTATCAATAAATAAGAGACATGAAGTTACATCATACACAAAGAATGATTGCCTACTCTGACATGTAAGTGCTTGTAAAATGACTATTTGGAGCAAAAAAGAATCGGTAGGCCTTGAAGAACTCTAGGCAGAATTCAGCCCAGCAGCAAGAACCACTTACAGCCAGAGTCTGAGATCAACAATCTACCTTCACTCTTATTTTAAAAGAGGTATTTCTTGGATTTAAAACACTAATTAAAGTAAAAATCATGAGTTAAAGAAATTTGAGTTTGGTGTTCTACTAAAATTTCCGGCAGTCATAACGTCTTCATTCTTCTCAATTGTGAAGTCCTTTAATATTACTTGGAATTAAGTCACACACAGAGGAGACGTTCAATGTTGTCATCTCAATACAAACCTGCATACGGCATTTCACTAAATCCAGAGGAACAACAGCAGTGTGTGTCAGACCACAACTTAAGACCCCACCAAAGCCACACAGTGCGTAAAACTTCGCAGAGCCATATTCACAACTGTACTCTGTAATAAGACAAGACACACCATGCGTTTTAATATAATACTCATGTTACTGGTTATCAACTTACCTCCTGGACAGTTAGGTTTCCACACAGCTTGTTAGTAGGTAACAGCCATGTTTCAACAATGTTTTATTTAGTCCAACATGCAAAAACAAACCTGCATTCTGCATTTAACCAGATCTAGAGGAACCAATGCTGTATGTGTTGTGCCACAACTAATAATTCCTCCAAGTCCACAGAGGAGAAAGAATCTGCCAGATCCATAGTCACAGCTATACTGCTCTGTTTGATTGAAAAAAAAAAATCAAATAAGTATTTCTTCAGAGGTGACTAAGGCCATGGGAATGCAAGAGAACTACGTTTCCCTGTGAAAAAGTATTATCACAACCGAACAGCTCTGCCCACCATTTACAAGTAAACTGAAAGATAATTTTCCACCTAGTGTGAGCAAGGAATTCACTGCCAAAATCAAAACAATCATTTAAAGATTTTGAAGGTTCTTATCTGTGAGATACTACCTCTCTCTCGTTTTGCCATATAAATTTTAAAAAAAGTTTTCTACATCATTAATAGCTCTTCCAATTAAAGTCAAACTTCAAATTACTAACAGCTGATAAGAACACACTTCTAAGTACCAATCCAACTTAAATCATGTAAAAGCTTGCAATCCTCTAAGGCTACCCCAGCCACTAACCAATACTGTCCCCACTTATGGATCTCTATACTATAAAAATATATAAACATAAATTCCTGCAGTCAAATACATTTACTACACAAATGACCATAGATTTAACTCTCTAAATTGAAGGACCGAATGATGATGTAAGGTTTTTTTCCTCACACTAAAGACAGAACAGAAACACGTAATAATTTTTTTTAAAAAATCTTTACATTTTACAGGTACAGGTAGATAACATATTCCGTACTCCTGCAATTCGATTTTCAGGTTTCTTTGTAAATACACTCCACTGGGATTTAAAATACACACAATTAAAATAAAGTTGGGTCTAACCACCAAGAAACCCGAGAGATAAGATCAAAGGGATTCCTATCTATTATATCCTTCCTATGGTCTTTCCGGGTCTACAAGTCAATCAGGCGCATTAAAACAAGAGTTACCCAGTTATCACACATACCTTGTGTCAACTAATATTAGACTCCGGGAATACTAAAGGGAGGAAACAATATTTTTAAAAAGAAAGTGAAAGCAAAATCAAAGAACTGATAATACAGTTAGAACTGCGGTGGCCAGTGATTAGGATGAAGACTTTACCCAATGCCTAGTCGGCTGACCAAGCGGGCTCACGGCGATGATAAGGAGCTAATCACAGCCTCTATGGCTCCACTCGCTCGAGGACGCGGAGGTCACGGAGGGAGCAGGGCCTAGACCCTTCCACGCCCTTGAGGGAGGGCCAAGGATCCGACACCCGGCTTCGGGCGGAAGGAGCTGACATCCTCGGACAAGCAACTGGGCGCCCTCCTGCGCTGCCGCGGGCAGGGCGCGCGTCCTTCCCTGCCCTCCGGGCCGAGCACACCACGAAGGCCGAGGGGACCTCACAACCGTATCGGGACAGGGTCTGACCTCACCTTCCACAGCGGCGGCTGCCAGTTTGCGGGAGCGGCGGGGTGGGCCCGGGGGCCCGGCGGGGTTGCTGCGGGGGCCCGCGAGACCATCTTGCACCAGCTGCAGGTGGGGTGCGTTGAAGGGGTTCGCCCGCGCCAAGTGCGCCACGGACGAGAACATCTTCCTAGGGGGAGAGGAAGCGGCGGTCAGAGGAAAGGCAAAGGGGGCTGTTAGGCCGGCTAAAGTCACCGGCACACTGGGACCACCCCCGCACCCAGGCCTTGCCTCTTCCCGCCTCCGCGCCCTTGAGGAGGTCACCGCGGCCTCCCCAAAGGAGGAGGCCAACGGGGCCTACAGCCAAAGAAGCGCCCCACCGGGTCTCCGCGCTCCGCTCCCCGCACGCACTGCAGGAAGGCCGAGCGACACTCACTCCCTAAGATGGCGAACACACCACCGCGCTCGGAAAGGCTGGGGCTCACAGAGGCCGAACGTCCTCCGGGTCTTTAGATCTGTGCCTTTCGCGTGTCGTCAGCGCGACGCACACAGTGCGTCACTACAGACTGGCGGCACCCATTGGCGAAGAAGAGCGCCGAGGCCCTAACGTCATCGCGTTCTCCTAGCAGCCCTATCCCCGCCCCACTTGCCCTAGCCCTTCCGGCCCGGCTTCTGCGCAGGAGGGTTCCTTTTGCGCAGGCGCGCATTCCGGGCCGGTATTCTGAGTTCCGTGAGTTTGTGCTCGTGACTTCCTCTTTTTGTCCCTTCACCTTGAAACGTCTCTGTTGGAATCTGGCGCTTACTTTCTTTTTATTTAAATGAGCCCCAGTATACTAGTCACCTAAAAAAAAAATTCGAATACGCGATGATATATTATTTCGGTTTGCGTTTAGAATGTCACTGCAGTACAGTTTTTGTGTCACAGCTTCTGCTATTATGGTACCTTTTTTGTGTGTATGTAGCAGGAACTCCTAAGACAGCTTGCTGCTTCATCACAATAGTTTATATAACACATTAAAGCATTCAATAAATTATTTTTAACACCTGGGAGTACAGGGGTGAACTAGAGTGAAAGTGACTGGCAGCAGATTTTGTTTTCAATAAATTTAGAAAATCTTCATTAGATTCAGTTAAACAAAGAAAGGCCTAGTTTAATTGGAAAGAGTTTAGTCGGGATCAAACCTCTGTTAGAATTCTGGCTCTGGCATTTTCCCAGCTATTGTTAAAGTAACCTTGGGAATTTACTTGATCTCTGTGCACCTGTTTCTTAAATGGTGGAAGCAGGGCTGGCCTCATGGGCTTGCTACCTATACAGTTATGTAGGGCCTATGCTTGGTTTAATGTTCTGCTGTCACCGTTTTGAAATTCTTAATGAACAAGAGACCCTCTGTTTTTCATTTTGCACTGGGCCTTGCACATTTTGCAGCTGGTCCTGGATAGGAGTAATACATATCTTGCAGAGTTTGTGAAAACTCAGTGAGATAATTTCTTCTTCTTCTTTTTTCTTCCTTTTTTGTTTTATTAAATGGACTTGAAAAATTGAGCTGTCATGTATGCCAATGGTAGCAATATTGACTAAAACTCCATTCCTATATAAACATGCAAGATTTTTGTAGAAAATTAGCATTACAATATTAGAAAAATTTAAAATGTTATCCTCTTAAGAAAGAAACTGGACATTTTCTTTAAAAAGCAGATATCATGGGCTTCAATCTTTTCAATTCCCTATCCTTTAAATAGAGTTCAATAATAATTTTGGTGAGATCAATATTTAGTGTTCACATTATGATGACTACTATTTATAGTAAGCCATGGTGAATGCTGTAATTATATTTCTAATCTTGAATGATCTGTTTTCCTCTAGAGGTAATAATTGTCACTTTTGGCATTTGTTTGGTTTTCTAATCACTCATCACTAAGTCAAAATCTGCTGTATTAGTTTGCTAGAGGCTGTCATAACAAAGTACCTCAGACTGAGTGGCTTAAGCAAAAGAAATTTGTGTTCTGTTAGTTCTCAGTGAAATAATTTCTAAAACAGGATTTTTAGCCAAGGAGCAGAGCTGGGGTCCGAGGTTGTCGGGGGGACATCAGTGGATGGGAAGTTACTGAGAGATTAGGGTAATTCTTGCTAAATTGACCTCACAGGATTCTTGCAGAAGGCAGACCAAGGTTATCAGACATCACTTGGGAGATGAGGAATTTGATCAGGTATCGAGCGTGATCAGATACCAAGTTTGGGAGATTCTGGCTAAACCGACTTAGAATTCTTGCTACACTTGGGTTCCTTATGATCATGCCCAAGGATGGGCTTAGTGGAAAAAGGGCTCAGAGTAGCCTAACTAAAGTTTGGTCAAGGAGAGAGTCTTTGTCAGTGCCTTCCTATTCAGTATACCAAGGCAGTCTAGCCTTTTAATTTCATTTAATATGGGCTGCCACTGAGTTTAAATTTCAGCCAAACTGTTAGAGACACCCTCAGCAATCTGAGCTAAAACAATGGACTGGGCCACTTTCTTTACTGTACTCATATCAGTAAGTGTGCCTTGATCTACCATTATATTCCTTCTCTTTTAGTTATTGCTACTTATCAAATTACTCCAAAATTTAGGGACATAAAACAACAAATACTATTATCTCATATTTTCTGAGGGTCAGGAATCTGGATGTGGCTGAACTACATGGCCTGACTCAGGGACTGTCATAGGGTTGTAGGCAAGCTGTTGGGTGGGACTGTGGTCTCTAAAGACTTGACCGGGGCCAGAGTATCTGCTTTCAGGGTCGCAAACTTGGCAACTGGCAGGATGCTTCAATTCCTTGTCGTGTGGCCCTCTCCATAGGGCTCCTCATGACGTGGCTTCCCCAGAGTAATTCAAGAAAGAAAGAGCAACCAGGACAGAAGTTGCAGTGTCCTTTATAACCTAATCTCAGAAGTGACACACCATCACTTCTGTATTTTACTGGTCATGCAGACGAATCCTGATACGATGTAGGAAGGGAGGTGGAGATCATTGGGGCCATCCTGGAGGCTGACTACTACACATCCAACCAAACATTCTCAGCCTCCATCCCCATGTGTGTTGCCCAGGTTTCTCTTAATATAAATCTTGCACACTTTTTATCTTACCTTCTAGGGTTCCCTGCAATGGGGCCTAGAAGCAATGGGAGGTATTGACAACTGGTTCTGAGAAGGATCAGCACACCCTACAAGACAACTACCTCAGGGGGAGGAAGAGCTATTTCTACTAGCAATAGAGGCTCAGCAGAACTTAGGGGTTCATGATCCCAGTGTCATCTGAATCTTCCCATGTGTTCCCATCCACACTGCTCCAAAAAAAAGCCCTTATGTTAACACGAGGCCTGCAAGATTGGGAATTCAACTGCATTGTAATTTAGGATTAGATTATGGGTTTAGTTTTTAGAAATTATAGCCTTGTACATATAGGAAGGCAATCATTTAGGTTTTCTGGTCCCTTATCTCATCTTGAACTGAGAGTTTAAAACCCTAAGCTCATCATTTCCTTTCCCCTACTTATCCAACATAATTAGGAAAAAAACCAGCCAACCCCACTGTAGTCCTTATTTTCACTTAAATATTTTGTGGAAGCATCTACTGGGTCACCCAAAGCCTTGCCTTCTTCAGCCATTTGATTACTGGTATCCAGAGGTCATAATTTAAGAAATTTTTTTTTGCTAATGCATGCCATGGACAACCAGTGTCACCATTATCACTGACAGCTGGTCACCAATGCCTTTAAATCCAATCAGACCAGATAACCCAGAACAAATTCAGAGAAGCCCATTGTTAAGGTTTTGTTCTCCTGGAATTACTTCCAATACCACTGTCTGTATCAGAGTTTGATCAGAGAAGCATAGCCACAGTGAGTCATATGGAATAAAAGATTTATTGTAGGGATTAGACCTTATGAGACTGTGGGAGCTGGAGAAGAATTTGCCTCTGTGTCCGGGGCTGGACCTGAAATTACTGTAAATCAATAGGACTTACAGTCAGGCAGGAAAGCTGAGCGTGAAGTCGGGGGGAGCAGGGACAAATTGGAACCCACAGAGTCAAACTAGACTGTGAGTCTGTCTCATCACCTACAATGCTGGTCCCTGCAGGAGCCATGGTGCAGGTGGTTTTGAGAGCCACAGTGCCACTATGCATCTGGCCCAGGACTCAGAGAAACCAAAGAAGATCCAGTTCTGAAAAAGCTTCACACCTGGCCTCTGCCCCGATTTAAGGTGAGCCAGCAAATCAGCAAAATGAGCATGAGCTGCCACAGCACCTCATGTCCTACACTGACCTTCAGAGTATAATGACTGCTGCCTGACTTCTGCCTTTGCACAAATTTCCTTTGTGACCAATCTTAACCCAGACCCATATTTAGGAGATAAACAGTTAAACTTCGAGGCGCTACAGAGATAGAACATTCAAGGGGAACTTTGCCATGGGCATTTGAAAAACTTAGAGCTAGAAGTCAAGTTTGCCCTTGTAGATTTGACAATTATCTCTGTCATGGAGAATCACAAGAAAATCCTTAAATAATTCCTAGCACAGTCATGTAATAGAAGGATATAAAAAATTATGTGAGGGAGACTGAAGTCATTTTCATATCTGCCCTGAGGAAAAAAGAGTAACATCCACTTATTTATTGTCTTTTTTGATTAGAAATCTTGTTTTTTTATTTTTGGGGTGGTTTGTTGTTGTTGTTTTGTTTTTGTATGACTTCATAAATAGAGTAGGGAGAAATTTGTCTCTTTGTATCTGAAGTAAAATAAAATGGACTTCACAGTTGGGGCTTTAGTTTCCATTCTGGAAAGTTTTAAAATCCCCATTCTTTGGAAAGGTATGCTAGGTTCAGCCTAGAGTACCTTGTCTGTAAGACTGGTGGTCTCTTTACCATAGTGCACCCCGAGAGAGCAGAGCTAGCTCTGAGGCCCAGTATCAGACTCTTAAACTCACCCATGTTTGTGCATGGAGCTGAAAACAGTGAAAGTTATATCTGTATATTCAGAGACATTGTATTTTGTAGGAAATAAAAGGCAGGTGAATCCTTTTACCCAGTCTTTATCTCTTGATATCTTGAAATTTCTTTCTTTCTGCAATTAAAATCATAAAATATGCTTTGGCCAAGAGAGAAGAGCCATACCTCGATATGGCAGAACCTAAAAGAGTCCATGTGGAAGGAGCACATCTATGTGGCACTTTAGTCACTCAATGGCTACAATTCATCACCTGGAAAGATTTTAAGTGAGGCCCTGTCATCATAAGTTAGAGGTTCCCAAACCTGGTTTCTCATCGAAGCACCTGGGGAGCTTTTTAAGCACAGATGTTGTCAGACCTTAAAAGATTCTACTAAGTCTGATGAGGAGTTCTAGAAGCTGCCATTTTTTTTAAAGATCCCCAGGTGATTCTTAAAATAGCCAGTTTTAGGGACTGATAATCTAAGGAATTCAAAGATAGGCGTGAGCCTGTGGAACGGCCCTGACCCAACACTGACAGCATCCTGAATTGCCTGGTTTGTCATGGATATAAAATGCTCACTTGCTAGAAAG